GCCTGTAGTTCCAGCTACTTGGAAGGCTGAGGTGGAAGGATCACCGGAGCCCAGCAGGTGGAGGCTGCGGTGGCCGGGAACAGCCACTGCACTCCAGTCTGGGTGACAGAGTGAGACTCCAACTCAAAAAAAAAAAAAAAGAAAGAAAGAAATGCATTTTTCATCCGGGTTCGGTGACTCAGCCTATAATCCCAGCACTTTGGGAGGCCAAGGTAAGTGGATTGCCTGAGCCCATGGGTTTGAGACCTTTTGTCTACAATAAAATAAGAATCAGCTGGGCATGGTAGCACACACCTGTAGTTATAGCTACTTGAAAGGCTGAGGCGGAAGGATCACTGGAGTACAGCAGGTCGACACTGGGGTGGCCCTGAGTGTGCCACTGCATTTCAGCCTGGGCAACAGAGTAAGACTCCAACTCAAAAAAAAAAATGTTATTTTTCACCGGGCGTGGTAGCTCACACCTGTAATCCCAGTACTTTGGGAGGCAAAGGCGAGAAGACTGCCTGAGCCCAGGGTTTCGAGACCAGCCTGGACAACTTGGCCAAATCTCATCTCTACAATAAATCAAAAAATAAGCCAGGTGTGGTAGCGCACGCCTGTAGTTCCAACTACTTGGAAGGCTGAAGCGGAAGGATTGCCTGAGTCTAGTAGGTCAAGGCTGTGGTGGCCGTGACTGTGTCACTGAACACCAGTCTAGGCAACAGTGGGACTCCGACTCAAGAAATGTATTTTTCTTTCTTTCTTTTTTTTTTTTTCAGTTGGAGTCTCACTCTGTCACCCAGACTGGAGTGCAGTGGCATGCTCCCAGCCACCATAGCCTAGACCTGCTGGGTTCCAGCGATCCGTCCGCCTCAGCCTTCTAAGTAGCCAGAACTACAGGCACGCGCTACCACACCCGGCTAATTTTTGATTTATTGTAGAGATGAGGTCTCGCCAAGTTGCCCAGGCGGGTCACGAACCCATGGGCTCAAGCAATCCACTCACCTCGGCCTCCCAAAGCGCTGGGATTATAGGCTGAGCCACCGAGCCCAGCCAAGAAATGTATTTTTCACCAGGCACAGTGGCTCACGCCTATAATCCCAGCACTTTGGGAGTCAAAGGTGAGAGACTGCCTGAGCCCACAGATTTGAGACCAGACTGGGCAACTTGGCGAGATCCCATCTGTACAATAAATCAAAAAATTAGCCAGGCATGGTGGCGCATGCCTATAGTTCTAGCTACTTGGAAGGCTGAGGAGGAAGGATCACCTGAGCCCAGCAGGTCAAGGTTGCGGTGGCCATGAGTGTGCCACTGCACTCCAGCCTGGGGCGACAGAGTAAGACTCCAACACACACACATACACACACACACACACACAAATGTATTTTACACCATTACTGTGTACTTGGAGGTTTCTTCTATCAGCCAGGTATGATGCAAAAATATATTCTGAGAGTAGTAAAAAATCCTAGGAAAATAATAAAAATATTAAGAAGTTATGGCCCACATTTCTCAGAAGAAATCCTTCATTCCATAGCCCTAATTAATATTGTAAGGTAAAGAAAGATTTCTTCAGATAAAGACAAGGTCTCCTATAATTTCTGGCACATAAATAACGATAATACTCTAGTCCCCAAAAAGACAAAACTGACCTAAAATCACCTCCAAAAAGGGCTTTTTGTTTAGAAGATGAAAACTAATGTATTCAAGAAATTTGTCAATTTTTATCAAAGGAAGTTCATGTTTCCACTATCCACATATGTCT